ATAAATGCAAGCTAACATTATGGCTGATTCACTATCTCATATACAGTTCATGTGCACCAAGTTATTCTGTATTATTTTGCTTTATTTTTTCCATCTTTCTTCCGAAGTTGTTGTTTTGGATGAATAAAGTGTTGCGATAAAGGTACCCGGCGAAATAACTACACTGGATAATCATGAACGAGTCGATTAATTTGCCCGATGGACTTTTCAATGTGAAAAGTATATGTGAAGCGTCGTTTCCCGACTTCATAAACTCCACCCGTCTGCTTTTCAGTCGGGCTTTTTTCATGTAAGTTCCAGTTCTTCTATTATTTCTGTCGTTTAATTTAGCGACAACTTTAAAGGTATACAGCGAGAAAACGTCCGCGAGAATGCTAAAAAAGAAAATAATTGTGACCAAGAATCTCAGCAAAAGGTTTCTGTCGTAAATACTCGTAGTTGTGTCAAAAGCAAATCGAATTCCTACTACAAATCGCTGACCTACACACTGTCACTGATAAAGAATTCTTCTGAAGAGAGCTCATCGACTGAAGACAAAAGCGAAGGAAAAGAAGACGTTCGGCCAAGCCAACCTCAGAGTACTGTACGCCGGGATGACCGCCAAGAGTATCCACTCACAAACTCATATGCAGAACCCGAATCTGAATTACAGCTCGAATCCGAAACAGATGAAGAGGATGTGATTCGACAGATGCAAGCTCTGGGTCTTCCTACTAGCTTTGGACGTCAACAGTAAGATCGATATTTTCTTTATGTCCTAGGGAAAATCGAAAAACAGCAAAAACTCGGAGAACTAGAAACTCAGTGTAAGCTTCCTAATCGCCCCTCATTTATGTACCATTTTAACCATGCCAGCATATTAGGATTGAATTCTAGCTGCTTTAATTTTTCTTCACGTTCGCGAATGCTATACTATTCCGCAAAATTAATCGAAAAAATTCATAACTTGATCTGTAGTTTTATCATTCTAACAGACCGGGCTGCTTGCTTTCGTTCATACAGTTCTGCTAACACACCCGGAACCATACATCCCGCTGCCGACATCGACTGTTTAGTTTTACTTGGCATCGCTCGCTACTCAGAGCCAAGCAAACGCCTTTTGCGAAATCGCAGTGCCGAAAATCTTTCCGGTAATTTTGTTATTTTATTTTCAAATCTCCTAACTTCCCTTTCACATTCGCGAACATCATGTGCAGCTGTTTATTCTTACTATCGACTGGCGGTTTATCAAATATCCTTCAGTGGATCATGCGGTTAGTCTTTACCTGACAGTAGAAAAGCCAAAACATTTAGAAAGTGCCGTTCTATTCGATTTGAAAGTCATAGACTAATGTTCTATTTGTAATACATGATAGGATAATGCTTCGATTGCTTCCAGCGACAAAGTAGAAGGGACCTCGAAATGCACTTTTGTTGTCACCTAAGCATGTGTCGCTGCTTTTTAACTTTACTAGGCCGTTTAATTTTACACCTTCACATTCATTAAAGAAATAGTAGGAAGCATTCAGACTGATTCATAAGAGCAGTTGATGAGCATACGTAAGCATTTGATAAATTCTCATCGTGTGCTCAAAAGAACCTCTTGCCAGCTCCGCACCTGACATAGCCAACGACCAGCACTCTTCCGCGCGTTCTCCCATCTGCACTGCCCCACATCAAGCCCTCATCGCTGCGTAACCAACGGTCTCTTTCCGACCCTCATTCCTTCCGTATTCCCATGACTCATTTGGACGAAATGAAGAACATAATTGACCGCATGTTGTACTTTTGACCCAGTTCCGATGATAAATTGTCGAAATCTTGAGTATGCTCGTCAAGTGCGCTACCCTTTGTGTTTGCCAAAGTAACCCCACGTTCATCGTACCCTGGAATACCTGCTATTTCTGCATTTTTTCTGAGGATTTTGTATTGGCACGACCATCCTCTGTGCTTTTGGCTAATTAAGGTAAATGCAACTAAACTATTTGCACCCCATACAGTCGAATTACCACAAGTCTACATCATTGCCTGCTCAGATGCCACGTGGTGCATAAAAAAGAAACGTTCATGTTCTAAAACTGAGATGCTAATTCTTTACTTGTTAAATTAATATTAAGAACAAATCCTTGTGCAAAATTGCCTCATAACACAAACACGACGGCATCGTCGACGGTTGGGTTGGCTGTTGGCTGGGCGGTTGGGTTGGCGGCTGCTTAGGCGGCTCCACCACTTCGTGGGGATCAGAATCTCTACAAATGCCTTCTTCTTGAGCTGCCTGTCGTCATCATTGACACTCTCCTCCACATCTTCTTCTTCTTCTTCTTCTTCTTCTTCTTCTTCTTCTTC